TTTTTTTTTTTTTTTTTTTTTTTTTTTTTTTTTTTTTGATGGGAGAGGACAAGGACAAGATTATGAACGCCATACCAGTGGAGGGATGGTGAGGATGGAATGGCTTACCTGCATTCCATACCTTATCCTCATTTATTTTATTTTATYTACCATTATTTAACCAGGCAAGTCCCGTCAAGATCTCAGATCTCTTTGTCAAGGGAGGCCTGGGCCTGAAGGCAACCTATTCACTGTACGTGTTTTTAGGGGTGGGGGAAACCAGAGTACCTGGAGAAAACCCACGAGGAGAACATGCAAGCTCCGCACAGAAAAAAACCCAGGTCCGAACCGGGGATCAAACCCAGGACCGTCAGTGCTAACCACTGAGCCGCCGTGCTGCGTTAAACACCTGYGGGATCAGCTTGGGATCAACAGAACCACGAGGACTGATTTGCAGCAAATACTGGTTTGAAAATATGAATGCCATCACTCATCAGTGTGTGAACAAGCTGGTGAGCAGCACTGGGACCAGGAGCCAGGWTTGTGGCTGTATATGGTTCTTCCACATTAAATGAATATTTTTAAATTGCCAATATGTCTTGTTTCTTCAAACTTTAATAAACCATCCCAAAAAAGACACAAAAAACCTCCAGCAATATAAGATTTATTGCAAAGTAGCAAAAAAAAATCACAAACTTCCTCACTTTTGTGCAATATTAAAATAAGCTGTCTCACTTTGACCCTCACATCAATCATTAGATTAAAACATAAACACCTGGATCGAACTGGACTGTTTTTAACAATCTTTGGTGTTGCTTTAAAATGAGAAATACAAAATGTTTAAAGCACGAGGCAGGATTTTCTTTTAATCATACTTTTTTCAGTCTTCACTAAATTGTGAGTGCCCCCCTCCTCAAACCCACCAATCATGATGATGAACTTAATATTATATATTAATATGGGACTCTTTATTACTATTAGGTAGATGGTWTTATAGATAATTTTGTTGACCCTAAAGTTTAAATTTTAATAATCTCATCAAATTGTTTTACTCTTTGTAACTTTCCAAATGTCTTATTGCTGTTTTTGTTGTGTTTAAAGTTGTTTGTGTCACACTATGTGGCACGTTAAGTAATTTATCAATGGGATAAGGAAGTGTGACATTGCTCAGTTTGACATTGAAAGAGGCGGATGATGTAACGTCAGCTGACTGATGACGTCTTCAGCTCGAGTAACTTTCAAAGGAAGCACGTTTTTTTACAACGTAAGCGGAAAGAGCCGGCAGGAGGGTGAAACCCGGGTCCGACGTGACTTCAATCTGTCTGAATATCCACTACATATAAATACAAGGTAAGAGGGGGGTATTAAAGGATCAGCTGCCCCTCAGTGGGGGCTCATTTCGACTAAAAAGGCGGTTTGATTCGGATCTGTCGCTTCCTCCCTCCTAAAAACGTGGCCTAGAACCGGTTTGAGCCTCTTTCCTGAGAATTTACCTACTTTCCTGTATTTTTGCTCTTATTTTTTTCCCTCTTAACTGTGACACTTTTGCCATAGGTTACACCCTGCTGTGGTTTCACATTTGAATCACACAGCTTTGGTATTTTTGCCAACAATTTCATTACAAAATCAGTCGTGTAACTTGGAGAAGATCGCCCTCTAGTGTCAGTATTTTATTTTCTATTAAACAGGTGAAAATGTACAAATGTGTGTTTTTTCCCTATGTGTCTGTTAGCAAAATATCTCATGAACTGCTGAGCGGATTTTAGTGAAACTTTCAGGAAGTAATCACTGGATGTTCCTCTGTAACTGATTAACCTTTGGAGTCGTCACCTTTACTAATGGCCTCCCCTGCTGATCAGCTTTATCAAACACAAAAATGGCTACAACTCTGTTAAGTTTGAAGTTCTTGAACTGAAATTTGGTGTGGTAGTAGCCGAGCGTCCTTCACAACACATACTCTGAGATTTGCTTTGTGAATTGTATTTTAAAAGTTCTGCAACTTTAATTGTACTCTCTTGTATTTAGAAAACATGTCTGGAGACGCAGAAAAAGGAAAGAAGATATTTGTCCAGAAGTGTTCCCAGTGTCACACTGTGGACAAAGGTGGCAAGCACAAGACCGGCCCCAACCTTTGGGGCCTCTTTGGACGTAAAACAGGCCAGGCAGAAGGCTTCAGCTACACAGACGCCAACAAAGACAAAGGTATTTATTGAACTCTCTGTGCTGCTTTATGTGAAATAATCATTAACGTTAGAGTTTTGTGAACATTCTTCTTCATTAAAAAAGAAAAAAATTGTATAGGTCTTCTGGACGGGTTCTTCTCTAATGAAACGTTTCGTCTTTTCTCCAAAAGACTTCTTCAGTCTGAGAGTTTCAGGCAAAATTCAGGCTTTTAAGCACTGCCTCCATGTGACTGATACTCACATCACCTGGCTATCGTTGACACCTAATTAACACTTATTGTTAACAGGGAGTGGAGTGATACAAGTTAGGAGTGATCAGGACTCTGTAC